AAACACCTACAGTCCAGAATTCTTTTACTAACCATTATTCTTTAACAAGTCAATTTTTTAAGGTTCAATTTGAGTTCATGATCACTAATTTTAAAAACTATGTTGGGGCCTGACATACTACAGCTCAATTTCACTAAGCCAATCCTGGACCAATGCAACTTATCAATTTACTGTATATAATCTATCAAGTGTTTATCATACACATAGACTGACTACAAGGCAATCTCCTTCTGGTTCAGTTTAGAAATCCCTACAGATTCATCATCACATAAAACCATTTCATAAAATTTTTTAGAAACATGACATCTTTATTTAGACCATTAGTCTCAAAGTAAAAGATGACAAGTTTTTTTTTTAAAGTAAAAGACAGCTGTTTTAATTTGGCTTATTATGGAACAGTTGCTAGAACTCTGTCTCTTATAAATTTTGTTGGCTTACTTAAAAAAAAAAGTTGTGTGCCGCTCTGCTATTGAGTCTGAAAAGTCTGTTCCCAATAGGAAACGAAAATAATATATTCCAAATGAATCATCAACACAACAGAAGCAAAAATTAAGAAAATATACTTGTCATGGGGTTTTTATTTTAAACTCAAGGAAGTAGGGAATGGGAAAATAAAGTAAATGAGATAGAGAACCATGTTTTTCTAAGTAAATTTATCTCTAGGTGAATTATTCAAGGGATCTAAATCAAGTTTTTTTTTTAAAAAAAGCACCATTCTTGTGTGTTCATGTATGTGTTTGTATTAGGGATACCTGTGTTCACTCATTGGAGCATTTCTGGTGTATATAAAATGCACCCATGAGAACACTTCTGAAATCATACCAGTTGGATCTGATCTCAATGTTATTTTAAATCTGATTATTGTAATGTAATGGATGCATTGTTTTAACATGCCAACATCTACTTAATCCCAGATAATTAAGAAAAGTGTTTAATGATGCTTTGAATAACTAGAAGTCTCCATTTGACACATCTTGTGCAAGTATCAGATGACATAATATATGCCTTCTCAGCTAGCCGATAAGATAAGTCTGCAGAGGCAGGCATCAAATTAGTCTCTAATCAATTAAAACAAAACACAAATTAAAATGTAGTCCAGATACACAGCAAGATTGGAAGAGTTTTGTGGATTGTTACTGGGTTTTCATTTTTAAAATAGGAAACCATAAAAACCACAACCCTTCTATATCCATAATTAGAAAGATATGCACCCCTGTTACCATATGTATACCCACCAGACATGGATCAGATCTATACTTTTTTACATACAAATACAAGCACACTAAGCCACACACTATCCTAAGAGACTAATTCTCAAATTCTTTATCTTCAGACATCCTTCTAGATCTCCAATCCATTCATCTTCTCATCATATAGAAATCTCACTTGTTACCCAACTAGCTCCCTTACAAAAAGCAAACATTCTTCCTACCATATTTAATATCTAAACAGGGCAACTGACCTGACTTGTTATTTCCTAAATGTTCATGTTCTTATGTATTACTGTTTCGCCATTTTCCAGTCTGGTCAGCTGCTCATGCCCAAGTGGGCATGGCTGAAGTAGAAAGGTGTCAAATGGCTCACTAGTTAATTTCCTTTTCTTTGTTTGTTTGTTTTTAATTACAGTATTTTGGCTCTTGATATGTAAAATATTTTATATTTTTTCATAAAATATTATTTATAGAAAACCTTCAGGCATAAATAACATTGACCAGGATTTTTCAATAGTTTCTGACTTTAAGTGTTTATTCTATAGAGGTGACTTACAGTTATGTGAAGATCAGGTAAATTAAACCTCAAATGAACAACAACACATGATATATTGCACTGTGTCATGATTTATTTAACAAAAATAATGCCAAAACGGAGAAGCGATGCATGAAAAACAAAGTATACTCTTACAGCTTCCATAGGAATAAAGAAGCTAGGTAGCAGCCAGATGCTGCTAACCAAATACCCTTGAGAAATGATCAGCAGCAAGTGTGACTACCTCTATAAAAGCTGAAGTTTTAGCAGTTTGCTGTTCTTGAGCATTCAGGTGTGTGCTAACAGAATGCCAAGGAGGAAACTCATCAGAAATAATCACAGAGAAGCAATTGTTGCTGCCCATCAATCTGGGTAGGGTTATAAAAGTTCATCATTCTACTGTGACAAAGATTGTTCAGAAGTGGAAAACATTCATGACACTAATCATCTCAGGAGTGGAACGTCCAAGCAAATTGATCCAAAGGTCAGACCATTCAATGCTCAGACAAATTGCAAAAAATCCAAGAGTTACATCTCAAACTCTACAAGCCTCAGTTAGCAAGTGAAATGTTAAAGTTCATGGCAGTACAATTAGAAAACAACTGAACACGTGTGTTTTGTTTGGAAGCGATGCCAGGAGAAAGCCTCTTCTCTCTAAAAAGAACATGTCAGTACAGCTTAGGTTTGCAAAGTTGCATCTGGACAAATCACAAGCGTTCTGGAATCATGTCCTTTGGACAGATGAGACCAAAGTGGACATGTTTGGCCATAATGCACAGTGCCATATTTGGTGAAAACAAAAAACAGCGTATCAGAACAAAAACTTCATACCAACTGTCGCGATCCCCTCTGAAGTCCCTATCCCCCCAGGCCTTCACGAGATTCTTTCTTCTTCGCTGCCACCAGATATTAATGCTTTAATATCAATTAAGTATTGTGCTGTCAGAACATAAGTCTTTTATTTAATCAGGGAAGTTAATAATCAATAGATACTCATGGGGTAGATTACAGGTTGTGAATCACTTATATTTGAATTGGTTAAGATACTGCTTCAAATCTCTTTTAACCCTCTGCTTCAATCTACACTCTTACAGTTCTCTAACTCACTCTTCGTCCACTTTTAAGTCACACACAGTCACACAGTCACGGTCTCGGTCTCGGCCTCGGTCTCGGTCTCGG